TGATTCCTATGTTCATTCAGCGAGTCGCCTGTGAGCAAGACTGTTGTACCTATAAATAGTGGTGAAGATTAATTGAAACGCCATTATGTCAAAGACACTCGCACAGAACGGATATTTCTTACGTTTTTTGCAAGAGAGTACATCCACTGTTCAAAAGAAGTTGTTGTTGCAAAGTGTGACTGATGAACAATTAACAGCCTTGACAGAGATTATTTATAATCTGTTACATTCAGATGTACCTCTGTCAAAGCATAATTTGAACGCACTGAGAAAACACAGAAAAGTGTTACGTTTTCTTGGTAATAAAACAGGATCTAAAACACAGAAAAAACAATTACTGTCAAAGAGTGTGGCTATTATTAGTTTAGTGTTGAAGGTTGTTGGGCCTTTATTGAAGGCATTGTAATGGAGCATATCCAAAAACAGGTGCTCATTCCTATGGATAGATATAAACGGCTCTTGAAATATCATGTGAATCCACTGAGTGGTGGGAAAATGGATACGTCATCAGATGAGAATCATCCTACCACCATTGATGATGAATCAGAACCCATGGATGCAGACTTGATTCTGAGCGTGCTGCCCAAACCTTACAGACAGAGAGGTGCTGCTTTATTGAGACACATACAAAATGATCCCGACCAAAGACTGTCATGGAATCGGAAAGGTGTACTCATCTACCAGGGTCAAGTCATTCAAGGGAGTCATATTGCAGACTTACTCAAGGACTCCCAGTATCTGTATAAACGTTTTCAACCCAAGGGACTGACTGAGTTCTATCAGGCCTTAAAAGACATCAATGTGCCTCAAGGACTAATTGGCAACAGACAACGGCTGGAAGTGGACATGATTTCCAAAGCACCAGAAATGACACTGAGGTCTAAACCTCCGGGAATACCAGTTCAACAGAGGAAAAACAAGAAGCCTAAACAGACATTTAAATGGATTTCTTTATGAATTTATGTATGTGTGTTTGTAAAGTGGACTATGGTTTGCTCCTAACCTATAGTTCTACTAATATGAACGGAGCTATTAAACAAATGAAATTGTATATCTTGTTGTTTTCATAACAGAACACAGTGCCATACCTCCCAACCGTCCTTCTCCGATAGGGGACTTCTGTGGGCTAGCGCAATTTCAGTGTTTTTTATGTTTATTTTTAAAGTACAATATCACTAGGCTAATAACTGGACAGGTAACAGGTTACATCGAGATCCCTTAAGGGGAAACATATAGTGATGGACATACAGCTATATATATTCTCTACATTTAGTGTGAATATTCATGATGATGATTCTATCAGAATGTTGCGGGCCTGATCCACCTTCAACAGCTGTGGTTCTTCAGCATACACGAGACAGCTCACTGTTTCAGGAAGGGGTTTACTGAACTGAATTTGTAGACATATGTTCCCACGTTTTATCTGATCCAGAAATTCTCGTCCATAGTAGGGTTCCAGGGTGAACTGGAACAGGGCATACCCTTTATTGAACATATCTCTCGTCATGTTGGGGGTTGAAGAAGGGTGTCTGGGGTCAAAGAGACCTTGGAAGGCCGGTACAATGTGTCCATCTGTGATTTTAAGAGGTTGTGCTGGAAGAGATTCGCCATTGACATACAGTCCTACAGTGGTTAGATCAAAAGTTGAAAGAAGAAGGGGTTCTGCTCATAGTCACCATTCAGTGCTTTTGAGGATAGGAGACATATCACCACTTTGTTTGGACAACAGTTCTGAAATATTTGGTCCCAAGTAAAACTGAGTTGTCCTTGAGGGATGGAGGCTACTCGGAGATCTGTTTTGATGTAGGGGTACACTGCATTTTCTGTGGCCAAGATGTGAGCATGTCCTGTGATGATAGAAGCGGTGGGTCGTATCTTACAAAGTCGGAGATAGACATCTTCCAGTATAATCTTGAATTTCTTATTGCTCACACCACTGATGATATTAAACTCAGGTTTACTAGGATAGAGTTTAATTTGCATATTGACTCCATTGATGAGAAACTTGTCACATTCCATGACATCTTCGTAGAGAGGTCCACACATGTCAACTGACTTGCTGAGCTCTGTATGAGAACCTCTTGAAATCAGTCCTCCATTGGTCCCACTATATGAATTAGTACTGTTGACATCCTCAACGTCCCTGTAGAAAAGTTGACTGGTACAGTAAGCTTCTTCCCCTGTGGTCCCTGTTCTCATAAGAAGTTTCAAATAGCTTTTATATGGATAGAGATGGGTGGCTGAGGTCACCAGTTTTCCATTTAGGGTGATGTCTACTTGAGACCACAAGGATTGTAGCCATAGGTTCGCTGGACCAACATGTTCCTCCTGTACCAGAGGTGTGCCATCTGTGTGCATAATTTTCGCTGTCACATGCAGGGTGGTTCGTTTCAAGTCTGTATAATCCATATTCTGACCACTAATGTTGAATTCAACAGGGCTGCTATCGGTGGTGATTTGAGAAGTCGGTCTCATTTCCAAAAAAATACATTTTATCTATCCCAGTCATAAAGGAAGGTCGGGTAAACACATCCAGCTCACTGATAGAGCTCGATTTGAAAGGGGCTGATAGGTTATCGCAAGACATGATGATGATCACAAAATGGAGCCTGGTAGGAAAGCGTGTGCACTGTACAACAGCTTCTGCTAGACTGGCAGATTTTGTGTTAGAGTACCACTTATATATGGATGAGTTTATTTTCTTCTTTTCGTCAGTTTGTCCAGGTTATCTGGACTTCTATTATTTTTATTATTTGTTTTTCCTCTCCTCATCTTCTTCTGTTTGGTTTTCGTGTTTTTCTTCTGTTTGGTTTTCGTGTTTTTCTTCTTTGTTTTCCTTGTGACCCCTTTACCTTGTTGATGTGTTTTCTTCATACGTGCCTTAGCCTGTTGAACCACTTGCTGGGTGGGAGACGTGAGAGCAAACTTGTCTGTAGAATGGGGTAGGTCTATCTTGACCCCTTGTTTCTCATAATAGATCACATAATCATCCACGTTATTAAAGGGATTGGGATATCCTTTAGCCTGCAAATAGTAATATTTGGTCCATTTCTTAGGATCGTCCAAATAGGGTCTCCAGTATCTCCTGTTCATTGTCTTGTTCAGAACGAATACTGACTCTCGGGCAGTGGTTTCAGATGAAGTGTCACTATCACTGGTCCCGTGATAAATGAAGCTAAATCACCGTTCCTGTCCTTTATATAGAGGTCTACATTCTGTACATCTTTCAGTTTGACGGGTACATAATGGCACTGAGGAAAAACGAATGTCCGTTCTCTTTTGTTTCCAATCAGACAAACATATCTCAACACAGGTAACTCCGAATCACCCACATGGGAGGTGTCACAGAGGGATGAACAGATGTAGATATCCCGATATTCTGATTTCTCTTTAGCAGTCCAGTTACATAAGGTAATGTCAGTCAGTCCTACGAGCCAATGGTTGTCCAAGTGAAGGGGTTTATTCAAGTTGACATTAAACTGATAGGGTTTATTATCAGGATAAAAGGTCTACTTACTATCCGTACTGTCAAATATTTATCCATGTTTAGATTTAATCTTGGGGTTTGGGAGGAGATATCCCAAACTAGAACTGAGAAGTGCGGTCCAAAGGTTGGTGTTTCCTCGGTCTAAGGACAAATTAACAATACACGTAATGACTACGATGTAAATAATGATGATTTGAGAGAAAAAGACTGTTTCTGTTTTGGCTACTTTTCGACCTAGTAATGTCCAACTTTCACCAGACCTACTGCGTGAGAGAGGTTGTGCCTCTATGGTGTCTTCCATACCAAAATGAGTCCATCTTTGGTTTCATTTCTATTTATACCTTCTCATAATCCTTTACACTGACCTCAGGGATCCAACTACTGTACTTTTTCGGCCAATGAAGCCATTTCACTAAGACTTCTTTTTGTTTATTTCTGGTCCTCCTTTTGACAATGTCTTGAATTCTATACTCCTGATCAGGGTCTTCAACCACTGCTTGTAGCTCTGATGAATAAAAAGCACCTTCGATGGGATCGCCACCCCAATCTTTCAGCTTGTACATGTCATTGTCTTGTGACCAGTATCTTCTTCTTACTGTAAAGATTTCGCCAGACCATTTCTCTTGATACTCTCTGTCAAACGTTCTCTTTAGATGACTCACTCTGACTTTATCACCCACCTTGAAGGTGAACTTCTTTTTACTCTGTTTCATTTTTTGGGGTTTAATCAAATACTGAGAGAGTCTCACTTCATTTTCATTTTTCTCAGTCACACTCGCAGGAGACTGTCCTAACATTCTGTGTTTGGTATGGTTGTAACTCTTGACTACATCTGGTAAGATATCCACATATCTGTACTTAAAGTGTTTCAACATGTATCGGTACAGTCTCATTTTAATGGTTTTAATCACTCTCTCAGCATAAGGAGCCTTGGTTTCATTCAGTGTAAATAGCTGGGTTATCTTGTGTTTTTTCAAAAAGGCTTTTACCCACTGATTCTTAAATTCTGAACCCATGTCAGATTGAAAAAGTTTAGGTTTTCGGGTGTTGGTTTTCCATAAGTTGGTCAATGCTTTCACTACTTCTTGACCCTTTGTAGACATGAGTGGAAGTACCCACAAATAACGTGAAAATAAATCTATGATGACTAAGAGGTATTTGACCCCATCATTGTACTTTGCCAGTGAAACCATGTCCATGAGATCGGACTGCCAATGACTGTCTAAACCTTCCACCACATAGTGCCCTCTTGGAAACGTTCTTCTGACTTGATGAGTCATAGTATAGTTCTCCTGCCCTTTGAGCCATTTCTTGATTCGATGTAAACCAATTTTAAACTGACCCTCTGCTTTCACGGCATCGTACAATTTTTTGGGTCCAGCATAACTACCAGGATGTTCTGGATCATAATAGATCCTATTCAAGTAGTCTTCCCAAGGTGCCATCTCAAACACAACTGTACATCACTCACATGCATCATGCTATTTAAGCAAAACCCAAGACAAAAGTACAATACAAGAATTTTATTTACATGAAGAACAACATTTACAACAGCAACAACTTTTCACGGACGTGCATTAACGTTTTTCCCAACTTGTTTTCCCCCGGCCATTTCCAGGGTTTGTCAATATCAGGATGGGATACATCAATTCCTATGCCCCATCTTTTATCAAAGGGGCTGGCTTCAGCTAACCGCTTAGGGTAGGATTGAATCAATACGTGTTTCAAGTCACTGTTCTGAGAAAATTTAGCCATTACAGCCTTAGTCATCACATTAAGACAGACAGTGTCCCACGCCTTCTGGGTGAAGCCTTTCACACATCTCCCAAGATGCTTTTGCTTTGCTGGCGAAGTCTCTTGGAAAATACATGTTGCCCTGTCCAAATCTCCAAAGTACAATGCTTTAGAGTACATGTAACACTGTTCCACACAAATAAATGTAACACCATCCAAAGTAAACACAGCTGGATAAAAGTTGCTGAATGGTGACTTGTAACCATAGAAGAATAGTCAGTTACTCCAACATTCATAGTCATTAGGGTTGCAGAAGGAACACTGGAGGTATCCCATTTGATTCTGGTGATCTTCTTGTGTCATACAGGGAACCATGTCCTTTAGTTCTGGCACAAAGTCTGGCATGACATCATAACAGTCTCTCAATTTCTTCCACTGGTCTGGGGACAACATGATACCCTTAGCCGTAGGTACCACTCCCAGTTGTTCATTTTTCTCCCACTGTCGTAGATCCACGCTACCATTTGGATCCAAACTGGCATACACGTTAACCCCTATGTGAACATAGGCTTGATTTCTTCCTTCACCGACAGCTTCCATCAACTGTATAAATACACTTGGTATTTCTAACCAGTGTTTCAAGGTAAGCACGATGCCTCGCTTGGTTGGGTAGGCCTTGCCAGTCGGGTACACTTCGTACTTCCTCACATGAATGTTCAGTACACCATCCCATGTCTTGGCCGTCACAAAGACGTTGTCCCCCAGATGTAAATGACAACGGGGATCCTGTAGTTCTGTCTTGTCAGTCTCTAGCCCCAACAATGCCATGGCTTGTGTCTCCCTACATTCCATCAACACTTTGCAGAAGAGAGAGTAAGCTTGGGGTCCCCGTCTAGGTAACATGGACAGCAGTTCTCTGACCCGATCGAAGGACGTCCGTGGTTTTTCGATAATCTCTGCCTTCATGAGGATGGTAAGGACTTCAAACTGTACCAGTTTGTCCACCACCTCTTCTACACACTGTATAGCTTGCACTAGACCACAACGATTCCTCCTCAGGATATCACGGTGAGCGGCTTCCATTTTCTATCTTCGAGGTAAACGGCTACCAGAACCAATAGAGTCAAGAGCATGCGTGAGTTCTCTCTGGCGATTGAAGTCTGAATGACATGGGGACTGTTCGAGGGCCTTATATTGTCCACTTGAGTCTAAAAATACCCCTGGGAAAGTGGTTTATCCCAAGGTCAGCTCAGTACAAGGTCATTGACACCCTTGTGAAATGAGGTCAGCCAGGTGTTCGATGATGACGTCATTTTAGGACTATTTCAACCCCTATACAACAGTTAGAGCACGAGGACTTGGTCTCTAATGGTTGAAATTGTTAGTTAGAGCTTCGCTCATCGTGCTCTAACTAACAATTTCAACCATTAGAGACCAAAGTCCTCATGCTTTAACCTATTTAAAGCATGGCATATACAAATCAAGAATCAATCTTTTATTAGAATCATATATTTACGGATACTTTTAATAAAACGTTTGGAACTATTTTGTTGATTCTTATGACAGCTGAATGTGTATAAGAAATAGAGGCATTTGGGGGCTCATTGAACATTTAACAGAGCCCTAAATGAGAACTATAAAAATGAGCAGTAAGAAATGACCGTGCATTTCATGCGGACTCTATCATATTTTATACGCATTCAGTGGCTTGTAGACCAACAATTTGGGCCCTTAACGAGAACCATAAAAACGCAAAGCACGATATGCATATGCTTTTCTCGCCAGCATTCGACATTCACATGTGCTCGGGAGAAGTCATGACGGATACCGAGTCGGACGAACTAACTCCCTCATCCCAAAGTGTTTTCACTTCACAAAATGAGTTTAATTCAAGTGACGATGAACTGATTAGTAGAAGCTATGACGCAATGGAACTGTCGCAAAACAAGGTAAATCAGTTACCACATTGCAGTGATATTAGCGGTGATGAAGTGTCTTCAGATTTGATAAATATTGATACAAGTGACTATTTCAATGTTTCGTCAAGCACTTCGAACAATTCTGTACCAAGGGAACGATTTACTACAGCGAAGACGGACGACGAAATAGCCAATTTGTCTAAAAAGTAAACTTCCAGAACGAACGAAGAGCTCGTTACGCTGGGCGTGTAGTTTATTTGAAACTCGGAGGGTGAACAGAAACCGAAATATTATACAAGGAAATACACATGGACAGAGATTAAGCGTTATTAACCATAAACTGGAAGAGCTCAATGACGATGAGCTGAACTACTGTTTGTGTCGGAAGTTCGCAAAGTAGATGGAAGCGAGTACCAACCAAAGACATTGAGGCAACTTATCTTGTTCTTTCAAATGCATTTGGGCAATTCAGGCAGACCTGTGAAACTGTTATCGAAAAGATATTTATTGAACTTCGTAATACGTTGGACAGTGTGATGAAAATGGAATCCCGTAAAGGCACTGGTATGCGTACAAGACAAGCAAACGTCATCACTTTCGAACATGAACGTATCCTGTAGGACAAAGGTATTCTGGGTTCATCGGATCCTTCCACTTTGGTTGATACCATGGTGTACCTTCTTGGTTTAAATTTCGCACTAAGGAGCGGAGACGAACATCGTCATTTAACTGTTGATCAGCTCGAGATTGGTGAGAATGAGCTGGGGGAATACTTGAGATATTCCGAAAAAGTTAGTAAATGCTTTCAGAGAGGGCTGAAGGACATTAACGTCGTGCCGAAATCTGTAATAGCTTGTGCTAATCCGACTGAACCAGACAAGTGCATTGTACGAATATTCCGACAATACATGTCTCTTCGACCAAAGAACGCTCCTGATGATTTGTATTTACGTCCCCTTGTGAAACCAAGAGATGATCAGTGGTTTAGTGTTCAACCAATAGGGAAAAGTACACTCAAACAGACCATTGGGAGGATGTGCAGAAGTGCAGGCTTTCAAGGTAAATTATCTAGCTTACATATTTACATCATTCATGACCGTTGCATAGGCAGTGTTTCGTGGATAAAACGCTCTAACATTTTGAAGGAAAGTGGGAGGGGGTCGGCATATTGCCTGTAGTAGAAGCCCAACTAAAATGGGAAGCATCGTTCGCCTTTCTGTGCACACCTTAAGGAGTGCAAATGAGAAAAACCCTTTGATGTTTGGTAACAAATAGAGATGGCAATGAATTTGAATCCTTGTTATGGCGTGTCTGTAATTCTATAGCACTGAACATTAACAAAAGCCTTTGTAAATGCGGTGTGTGTAGTCTTTAAGTGATACCGACAAAAGTCACGATGTACATTTGTTTTGGGATGATACACGTATGTGGTTCATAATTCTTAAAATGCAATAGTTGACAAGCCACGTGGTTTTCCTGGTATTTGTAAAGTAGCAGCTAAGAAGTATTTTCAGTTCGAATGCACTAAGCGATAACAATGTTTCTTTGCAGGATTCTACAGCAACCATTCCCTCCGTGCGACGTGCGCCACGAGATTGTATCAATCTGGAGTTGACGAGCAGCTAATTGCCAAGACAACCGACAACAGGAGCAATGCAGTGAGGAAATATAAACGGAGCAGCACTGAACAGGAAGCAGCTGTCAGTGACGTCATTCAAGGAAAGAGATTGAAAGCGGAACCAAAGGCCGATGCTGGTTCTGTGACCAGTGTCAGTCGCACAACTACTGCGACTGATCATGTTCACATTTCACTGAATGTAGTCGTGAATAAGTGATTTCGGGTTCATTTTGTAATCCCCGAATAAAGTGTGAGAAAAGGCATGTTTGTTGTTTTTTTAAAGTAGTTCCGTCCGTTCTTTAACTCTCCTTTTGGTTAGTTAAAGCACGGACACAAACAAAGAAGCTATGCTTTAAACAGTGTTAATGTATACCCTCTCGATACAAAAGGAATAACAAAACAATTGTCCAGGTAAGTTACTGTCAATGTGTACAATCATCAAAGTGCTGGTAACATTGGTACTGTGATCAACTGCTTGATCATTGTTTATGTTACACATACCACCTCATGTACAGACAACATATTGCTGACCACACATATTAAAGCATCAGGTTGCTCTGGATGGTTCTTTGAGAATTAAAAAAAAAATATATCGCATGTTACGATCTATAACAAATACGAGCAAAAAAAAACTTGCTTTATCGAAACAAAAGTTTGCCTTCTTAAACTGAACACAAGAAAAAAGCTGCTCCATTTCGAATACTAAGTGCAGTTAAAGTATCCACTCATTGTTAAAGGACCGCCTCCGTGGTGTAGTGGTTAGAGCGTCCGCCCGGAGAGCGGAAGGTCGCGGGTTCGATCCCAGACCGCGTCATACCAAAAGACGTTAAAATATGGTACTTGTTGGTCCCAGCCTGGCGTTCGGCATAAATGGGTACAACAAGGACTGGTCGGCTCGGAGGCAGTATAATGTGTCTGAGTGGGGTATTCATGCTTCACTGCGGCTTGGTATCTCAGTGGGCTAGCACTATAAAACCAGCTTAAGTCTGTGCTAGTACAAGCAGCCGCACATACACATACACACGCATGCACGTCGTCATATGAGCGAAATATTCTCAAGCATGACGTTAAACCCAATTTCACCTCACCTCACCTCACTCAATGTTAAATCTAATTTACGGTTGACGCCACGCCCGTAGCACGTGCCGGACGTGGAGTTAGCTGAAGCACGTTCATTTCGTGATCCTGAGAACACTGTTCAGTTGCTCTTATATAAGACAGTCCAACATATCAAATAAACAGTGTTAATATATACCCTGTAGAAGCAGAATCACAGATCAATTGTCCTGGCAAGTTACCGTCAATATTTACAATCTTCATGGTGCTGGTAACACTGGGACTGTGATCAACTGTTTTAGTAGACTGCTTTCAGGATCGTTGCTTATGTTGTACGCACATCACCTCAAATAGTGAGAAGATATTGCTGATCACACATATCAAAGCATCAAGTTAATCTAGATGATTCTTTGAGAATTAACACACACAGTTGCAGAGATTAGGTGTAGTAGATTTCGTGAACTGGAGTCAACAGTATGGTGAGTATGCGATGTTTACTTCTGTGGATATTATTGGGTGAACACTTTCCAACGTGAGTTCGGTTCCCGGGGGTCCCTTGTTTCAATAACATGAGCTACGTCAACTAATCTCACCCTTGTGTATCGCGTGTCTTTACAGTAGAGTTCGCGGCATTTTTGATACAAGATAGCCCTCTCTTTTTTAAGTTTAGGAGGGAGATCTGTCCGCACAGAGACACCCTTACCTCGAAGTGTTTTACCCGCATCCAACACCGCTTCCATGTCGGGCGTGTACAGGAAGGTCGCGATTATAGACGGGGGTGCATTCGGAGTGGGGTCATTCTCAAACGGCTTTCTGGGTAAATGGTGACCTGTTTTGAAGAACATGTTGTCCACGCGTTGCTCCGAGAAGTTTAACGTTGTAACAAGAAAGTTCCGTAGCACTCTTTCAGTATTTTCTTGCGGTTCCGTCTTCAAACCATAAATCAAAAGGTTGGGTTTTCTATCATGAATTTCCTTATGAATTAACTTTATCTCAAACTCGTCTGCATGTTCAGTCAAACTTTGCTTTCAAACCGACACTTCTTGACGCAGTTCGTTAACTTCATCTTGCTGAATCGTGATAGAATTCTCAATCTCGTTGACCCTTGCCACAACCTTTTTAATGTCATTCGTGGATTGTTCTAGTTCTTTTCTAACATCAGTAATCAGTGAAGGCAATCTCTGTTCTGATTTAAGAACAATTTCTTCCATTTCTTCGGCTCGCGTTTTTGGTGGCATGGTACACATAAGTTTTTCAAGTTTTACTCACATAATATTCCTCGTCGAGTCTCCAAAAGTGCTTCTTTGTTACCCGTGGCGTTTCTTGTGTTACACAGATCTATTCCATCATAATTAACTTCGTTTAATCGTCATAGATGGCTTGGATTGAACATTATCCGCGGGCCGAGCGGTAGCGCGTTACAGACACGTCCTATTCCTGTGCGTGCGCATCCGGAAGTAAGGAACAATGGGGATACTGACGACAGTGTACTTGGGATGCCAGCGAGACATTTCAAAGGCGAGGTTCGCATATTTAGCATGCTTTTCCTGAGTCTTGCCAATCACATTGCTGTCAAAGGGGACAGGCATTTTCAGTAAAGGTTACAACAATGGCATGGTGTGGTAGTCACTGACGAGTCACGTCTTCATCTACGTAATGCTGACGGCCGATTACGTGTTTCGCGTAGACGTGGTGAGCGTTATGCTGATGACTGTGTGGTTCAGACAGACCTTTGGGTGGTGGGAGTGTCATGGTCTAGGGTGGAATAAATTACAATCACAGGACTGCCTTCATGTCTGTCAAGGGAGAGTTAATGCCCTTTATTACCGTGAGCAGATTCTTCAGAATGACATCGTATCTGTCTTCAATCACCACCAAGATGTCCATACTTTTCAATAGGACAACGCACGGGCACACACAACAAGACTTTCCATGCAGTATCTGGCCCAGCAACACATCCAGGTTATTCAATCGCCAGCACAGTCGCCAGATGTTTCCCCCATGGAGCACTTGTGGGACGAAATTGGTCAAAGTCTTTCGCGGCAACAACAGATGCGAAACATCCGGGAACGTGAGGCTGTACTACTGCAGAAGTGGAATGCCATCCTCAAGAACTCTATTCGGACGCTTATTGACTCAATGAGGAGACGTTGAACTGCATGTGTCAATGCAAATGGCGGTCACACGCGATATTGACTTTTCGATATGACCCCACGTGTGTTTGATCCTTTCTGACTGTGAAACATTTCAATGAATGAGCGTATTTCCTGTGTTGTTGTTTTTGTCAGTCGTCCATCTGTTATTATCCACTCAAAAAATATCAATTCCTTACACGGGCTTTTAATAATCTGAACTTTTATAAGTGGTGCGTTTTCAATGATGTTCAGTATATATTCATCTTTATCAAAAAGGACAAGATCAGGTTTGTTGGCTGGAATTCTTATGGGACTGTATATGGGCCTATTCCACAGAAGTTTGAAAGCAGCATTTCCCATGACGCCCTGGACATGTTCAGGGTCGTACCATGGATGAACCTCGGAGTCAAAGCCAGAGGCATGGCGGAGACGGTAGTAAAAACAACGAGCAATGCCATCATGTCGTTTAAGGTATGGTGTTTGTGCCAAGGAAGTGCATCCACTGACAAGGTGCTGGACAGTCTCTGAAATTCATTGCAAAGTCAACATTTCATATTGATATTTTCTTTAAGGATCACATTTTGGCGATTACGAGTGGGAAGTGACTGGTCCTGAGCAGCAAAAGGGAAGCCCGCCGTTTCACATTTAAGACCAGCCGACTTCATGCAGGCGAAGGAGTCGGTTGGATTGCTATTCTGCATGTACACACGATGCAATAGCTTCTCAGAAAGCTTCTCCACAAAAGACCGACTCTGGGCAGACTTAGTGAATAACTTCACCTGATTTACTCCCATCGCTGTACCGTCCAGCAGTACATCGCCATCACCAAAATCAACCTCATGATCAAATTTCAGATTCTGTCCAACGACCTTGGCACGCTTAAAATAGCTGTGGAATTCCTTGCTATTATATATAAGTAAAAAGTAACAGTGCAAAACATAAAATTGTATAAACGTTATTTGAAAAGTATAAATATAACCCTAAATAAACATGCAGCAAGGCACTTTGGATCACATTTGCTGTCACGTATAGCGCGTGGCACATGTATCTTGTGCACAATGAAATTACTTATTTTTTGCATGCTTTTAGACACCTGAAGATCACACACCTGAGTTCTTGACCACGGATCAAGGCATCAACTTTCCAAAGTGCCTGACAGTATATCTCTTGAAATAAGACAAGATGTTATCGCACAGTCCGACTCTGCAAAAAATCTTGGTGTCATCTTTCAATCAACAATGTCATTAGAAAATCAAATCAAATCACTCAGCAAAGGATGCTTCTACCATATCTTCAATATCAGCAAGATCCGAACCCTCTTAGGCTTCAACACCGCCCAGCTTCTAACGACCGGCCTTGTTCTCTCTAAACTTGATTACTGCAACTCCCTCTATTACAACATTCCTCAACAGCTCCTTTCACAACTCCAACGGATTCAGAATTCAGCCGCCCGTGTTGTTGCCCGTGCACCACGCTACCAAACTGTGACACCTATCCTCCAAACTCTTTGCTGGCTTCCTGTATCAAGCAGAATTCAATACAAACTTCTTCTTACACAATATCTTAAAAGCCTCATTCATCTCCATGTTCCAAGCCAATTGCTCCGCTCGTCAAACTCCCTACTGCTTGCACAGCCTCACGTGAAAACAGCCATGGGATCAAGAGCGTTCTCTGCTGCAGCCCCCTATCTCTGGAACATTCTACTACTCGCCCTAAAAGAAATAGAATCTGCTGACGCTTTCAAAACTGCCCTCAAAACTCATCTTTTCAAACTCTCTTTTCCGTAGACATAGTCTACAATCTGTTCTATTTCGAGCGCCATTGAGCAATATCTTTTGGAAATAGGCGCTCTATAAATCAATTATTATTATTAATAATTGAAGAACGGTTCGTTATTCTATAGCCTCTGAATCTTGTGGAAAACACGTGGATTTGAACCTAAACTGCATGTACGTTATGCCACGGCTTACAGACATTTGCTGGAAACTGGACTGGCCCAAAATGAAGTGGCCAGACATTGTAGTGTGCAACGAAACAAGACCTCATCTCTATGGAT